GGGACAAGTCGAAGTAAGGAGTCGGTGAGTGACTGGGGAGTTCGCATGGATTTCTAGGTCAAGGTCACCTACTGGCCAGTACCTACTAGTCGAGTGGACTTGCCCAATTCTAACTCCTCGGGTGGTGAGTACCGAGGGGACCTACGGGAGGTGATGTATGGGTATATGGGTGGGTTGGAGATGGGACTGCAATGTATGACTGTATGAGCTACCGCTGCGTCTACCGTCTCCTCTGTGGTACGACTAGTGAGGGTTTATCCCTATTACTGTGTATGTGGTCTTATGGTAGGTCCTGCCTACGAAAGAGCTGGTTGCATGGTGTTTGTACACGTATGTTAGAAGATATCAACATAGAAGTTACCGTATATAGACAACTGTTTGCTCCGTATATCGCAACCCTGGATAGCTGTCTTGGTGTAGAGCATCGGAGCAGATCAAACCCTCCCTCCATTCATCCTTTCCGAGACATCCTCAGGCATCCATCCTGAAACCTTCCTAATCGGGACAACCTCGTGACCTGCAGCAGCAGGCGCGAGAACGAAGAATGCAGGCCTGGGACCCGAGCCCAGAACCTGCGCAGAGAGCTCTGCACCGTTCTGACCGCTACCGCCTTCGGCCTATTCTTGGTGAGCAGGGGCATTGTCTTGCCGAGGTCCTCTTTTTTCATTCATCAGGCCATCCATTTCGCGCTGCCAATATCCCGGCACTTCTTTCACTCTGGAGAATATGGCATTCGGGATCCGATCGTTGTTCCAACAGAATAGAGCATTCGACCGGCAAGAATTCATTGGGAGTTCATCGAGCCTGCGGTATGGTCATATAAAGTATCGCTACGGATACCTCAGTGCGATCGGCTGGTGACACCGGCTGAGGCTCTCGTTGTTCCTTCGCAGAAAACTGCGATGAGTCACTTCCAATACACTCGCCATCACGAAGATCATAGCAAATGACGAGTCTCTCAGCCACTTGTGATACTCTGGTTCGAAGCCGCTTGGAGCTTATGTTCAAGAACCTGGTCAAACAAAATCGTGCTGTGGTGCAAAGTTCACCCATTCCGTAAAATCCATGCCACTTAGATTCAACTCCTGGTCAACATCGGGAAACATACTGCCAAAAGTCGGATCAGTGAACAGTTGATCGTTGAATGGCATTACGATAGGGGGCGCCGGTCCCGCCGTTCGACCGGTCGCGGCACTCGTATACGCAGGCGAACACAGCCGGTTCACAACTTCCAGGCAGCGAACAGCAAGTCGATTGTTGCTGAGTGAAGGATGAATGAGTAGTTTCTTGGTGGCTTCTATGTCTTGGAGCCATGCAGGAGCGTCTGCACTAGTGGGATCAGTCATGAGCATGATAATCGGAATCAAGCCGGCCTGAAAGAGGAAGTATCTGTCGAATAAGTTAGTCAACCATAGGCAACCCCAAAAGCAGAGTTCGTAAACATACAGCATGTACCAGGCTCCAATTCTCGTGCAGACATGATTGTTCACAAAGTCGGTGATGGACGAAATGGAAAGTCTAGCATTTCGAAGACAGAGCTTCCGGCAGTCAACCTCGAAAGGATCTTCAGGCTCTGACGCTGTATTCTGCTGTGTCCATCTCCGTGATGCCCATCGGAGGAGTACCGGTCGGTAAAGAAGGATTCTCAAGTTCCAATCCCTCCACATCATGCGGTTGCGGACGAGCGCAAAAGTGTCCGATACCGGTAGAGGCGGTTGCTTGAAGTAGTCAGGAAGACCATTGTACCATTCCTCCATTGGCTTCTGGAGGCCCAAGGTTTCTTCCGCTGTGAGACTGGGTCCCGAGATGAGGCGTTGGTAGACGCTGTTTGTAAGTAAATGAAACCGAGCTTGGGCTATCAGCCCCGAATAGAGGGTTGGCTCCGTGACTTCGACGGGTAGCGTGGTGGTGGCGGGGGTGAGAGCCTGAAAAATGTTAACAACCAGACAAGAGCCGGGGCGATGATCTGTCTTCCTACCTCGTCATGAATATTCAGGACGTGTTTTGCATCCATGACACTATCTTCAGGTAATAGAATGGGCCGGCCAAACGTCTTCGCCGCACCACTGTCGAATATGTATACTCCCCACCACAGGCGTCTCCTGATCTCACGCTGAAGAAGGCTGATTTTCCAGCCAGGAAATTCTTTGTGGAGACCCAGACTCATGGCCATTCTAACAGCCAGGCCTAAGAAGTTCCACCCAGTATTGGGCTTGTTTCGTTTCTGTGCATAGTTGCTCAAAAGCAGTAGCGCCTGCACCAGGGTAAGGTTTCCAGTCTCAAACACGGAGACCTGCTGTAAGTGGCCTCGTGCTTCTTGGTAGAAAGTGATATCTAGGTCGGAGTTGTCGTCGCCAATGCACCAAGCACCCAGCGCCAGAATGGTGTTCAGCAAGATCTGCCATGCTTGGCCATGTGGCCGGGGTACTTGTTCATAGAACTGTGCTCTGAATGTACCCTCGTGAATGAAAGGGTAGCTTGCATGATAGTTGAGGAAGAATGCGTCCATAAACGCCTGCTCAACCAGACCAGAAGGGGCGGTGTTGAGCAATTGGGACTTCAAGGGGATGGCATAGTTCGTCTTGGACGTGCCAGCGGGGAAGTTGAGGTCAAAGCCATGTTTGAGCAATGTTCGGAGCGGAACGACGCTCGAAGAAGCACCTACTGATGGTTTAGAATGATCGACCACACCTAGATCTAAACGAAACACACACCAAAGTAACCCGCTCCTTCTGGTTTGATAGATAAGGCTGCCATGCCGTCTGTCAGATCACCCACAGTGATCTTATTCTCCGCCCAATCGAAGCCGTCTGCCTGTTGCGGCAGTGCCTCGGGGGCTGGTTCGGCTCGATCGGCCTCAGCCTTGGCTGGAGTGGAGTGCCTGGATGACGATTTGGACGATGAACCTGGTTTAGGCGGCCCATCCTGGTCATACAAAAGGGAGCGAACCGTCGCATCCAGATCACCTCCCGGAAACAGCCTCCCTAGGGCTGTTTCGAACGCCTGTAAGCGATCTTCCACATAGGTCAAATGTCTATGTGGACCTTTATTAGCGGGTTTCGCAGCATGTGAGGAAAGCTAAACAGATGCTTACTGTCTGGTCAAGGGACTTCTGGTGACTTTAGGACTATAGTTACAGTCCTTGTGCAACTGCTTGCATTGTGCACATGTAGGTTTCTCCTTAGAGCACTATAGAGGCGTTAGCGTATCTCATGTTCCTGCTTCTGGACATCCAAAACTCCATAGATGACTGCTCACCCTGGACTTCCGTAAACGGCATTCATCGCACTGCAAATGAAGATCAGCTTACTAGGTCAGTTTACCTGCGATCTGCGACTCACGGCGTAAGAGTGAGAATCACGAGTGCTGGCCATGTTTAGAGCAAGACGATCATTCGATCTATTGAATCTCTAAATCTCGTGCTCGGTGGTAAGTATACCAAACTGATGTCATCTAAATCAGTAGGTCAGCAACTTGCTACATTGTATCAACCGGTGGAAGTCCGATGCCAGACTTGAATCGGCAACATATAAGAATGAATGAATACAATATTAAAGGAAGAATGTATTGTGAGAAGGAATATAATGCCAAATCCTAGCCAGGCCACAAGTTGGGACAAACAAAAAAGAGTGCTCACGATACAGGATGGCGCAGACACCGAAGACGGACTGGTGGGGTATCAGGAACAAAATGAGGTGGCGGAAGAACAGGGCCAAAACTCACGATCGGCACGGCGGCATTCAATGGTCCAGCCCTTTTTGTACGTCGGAGACAAGGCCGACCGTCCAAGTCCGTAGTACACGTAGTACAGGTCCAAATGAGGACGACAGGCCTTCGATAATAGAGAGGGGGGGGAAATTCCACCTGTTGCGAGCGCGACGAGGGAAGCTGCAGCTGATGTGATGATTGATGCTAACTCTTAGAGAGGCTCGTGTGGGGGGGCAGCCAGTCAGGTGACACGCTGCGAAAGAAATTTATCGCCCTCGATTTTCAGGAATCCATTCCCAGTTTCCCTCGGTCAGCCTGAGATCCTCAGGCAGGAATGGCTGGACATCCACTCTTGCTCTTGTCTTCTTTTCGTCAGGGTGGAATGCAATTGATATCTACTCCGTAGACTGTTCCCCATGCATATAGCAAGAGAATATTAGCTTGTAGACCTCTCCTTTCAAGCACCTGACTGATTGATATGTTGATATGCACGAGCTAAAGTCAATAGAGTGGGTTCGAGGTACAGAATGCGGACCAGATGGTTACGATGCTAGTGGACGCTGCACCTCGTGAATCCGCGTCGTGTTATCTAGCTTGGTGGACAATCACCATGTGGAAGAAGCAGAAACTCTCGTTGGTGGGATGTTTCTGCAGGATCTCTTTAGTGGTCCGGTGCGGACTAAAACCGTGACAGCTCCCAAGGTAGCTATTAAGGCCAGAATATATAGTGCAGCCATGCGGAATCTTCAAGCATCTCCAAGACAGCCAAACGTACGAAAGTCGTAGCGCATATTTCACCTCATGTTAGTATGAAGGAAATCGAGAGAATGAGGCAGGTAGTTTCCAGCTGTTGCACCATAATACAAGGAGATAAGAAGTTGCTGGTCAAGGAGTAAATGCTCTGCCCGCGACAATGCAACTGCTATCAATCAGTCTTGGCACGGTCCTCCCGCCAATTGCAGACCCCACAGGAAATTCAATTTTATACAACGTCATTTGCAGCAACCTTCAGCATCCAAAAATTACTCCCGCGAAGCCCAGAAAAAGCATCTCACTTTGCAGCAAGAGGGCTTGACTCCAACTGCGCTCGCTCATCTCTACCTGCAGACTTATACCCATTACCGAGCGACCTCCCCCCCTCCGAAGCGATACAGCCATGCCCACTCAACCGCCCCTCCCTCCCCTCCTGGCACCCTACGTATCGTCTTTACCCCCCTCATCTCTCATCGTTCTCTCCACCGTCCTCGGCGCTCAGGGCAATTGGCTCACCTTACGATATCTCTACGCCGCACTGAATGCATCACTCACCTCCGACGCTGCGCTAAGTTTCGGCGAAGGTCATAATAGGAAGAAACAAAAGGTGGTGCTCGTGAGCTTCCTGCGAGGTTGGGAATTTTGGCGCGCGGAAGCAAAAAGATTGGTATGTTTTTTTTCCCGGAAGCAACACCCCCAACCCAGCAAGAACCTCGAAGATTAGTGGAAAATCTCTTGTGCGGCATGAAAAAGAATGCTAAAACGACAATACAAAATTTCCAGGGCTTGGATCTCGCCCGTCTCACAGACAAGCGCCAATTTGCCTTTGTCGATGGCTTATCCGAACTCTTCGCCGGTCCGCGCACGACGCCGACGCCGTCCACCCCCCAGACCACCACCCAAACCACTCCTCCCTCCCTAGCACCCTCACCCCGCGGCGGCCCTGTTCCTCAGCGGACAATTCTCCCCAACCGATCCGCGCCAAGCCCCATTCCCGCGCGCGGGCCCGCGGTCGCCGCCCCAGCTCCGTTTGCTCCGGTGGCTCCGTCAGCTCCGCCAGCTGCGCCGGCTTCTCGAGAGGTCGGCCCAGTCAAGCGACTGCACCTTTCCGGAAAGGGGCCTGCAGCTCTTGACAGACTCGAGAAGGATATCGCGGCGGTGGTGGGGCATCTGAACGGGAGGGCGGCGGCTTCGGCGGAGGGAGAGGACGATTCCGAGGTGCTGTTAGTCCTCGACCAACCGGACCTGCTTCTAGCCGCGACGGGTCCCGGCAAGGAGATTGGAGCTACGGAAATGACTGAGTGGGTGATGGGCCTACAACAGGTGCGTCTTCTCGATCGGCTCATTCAGGTTGTGATGATGATGATGATGCGTGCGCTAACCATGTTACGTTCTTGTGGGAATATAGTACGTCCATGCTACGGTCATGACCCTCGCGGCAGACTTGCCCTTGATACACAACGCCTCGGCGGCTGGGCATCAGATGCCAACGCCGCTGGAGACCGAACACGCCGCGTTTGCGATCGGTTCGGCCCACCGCGCGCATCTGGTGATGCAGTTGCGGGATCTGGATACGGGGGCCGCGCGGGATGTGAGTGGGGTTCTCAGGGTAAGTAAAGGAGGCGCGTGGGGACAGAGCGACAACACCGATGCCAACGGGAATTGGGAAGAGAAGGAGGCTTTGTACTTCGTGCAAAGAGATGGTGGAGTCAACGTCTTCGGACGCGGGGAGTAGGGGGTGCAGTGTCAGTGGGACCAGGGTGGTTTGGGGGCGGAGGCGTTCGGGCGCATTCAATCAAAAAGCATAGAATGGTAGATTGATTCGTTTCGCAAGTTGATAGGCAGTGCAGTGCAAGGATAGATACGTTTCGGTAAGCTTGGCAATCGGAATTTTAAGTAGACAGATCACATTGGATGAATGTCTCAACTCTGCGTCTGTCTCGACATGGGATATCCGGCAGCCATAAACAAGTCAAGGAAATTCATGCATTGCTTTCCCTTCTGCTTTTTTTTTCTTCGTGAACAACACAGGACCCCCCACGGAAAGAGAGTCCGTTCTTTTCATTTGTCGTCAATATGTGCCATTTTTCTCTCTTTCTCTAGAACAGAAATGCTATGACGGCAAAAAAAAGTGAAAAGACCGTCCCACCACCAACTCCACGGGGGAAGCGCCTTTTTTCGCCTTGCACTGAAACCGGTTCACTTCATATGCTCGGCCTTTGTCATACCAGCCCTCTCCAGCCTCCGAGAACGAATTCGCGACGTCGAACAATTAACTTAGTTGCTGCTCGAGGTGGCGCCACGGGCACCCTTGGGGACACCGGTCTGGAAGCCGTTGTGGAAGCGGCGGTGGACCTCCTTGAGGTGGCGCATTCTGCCGGTACCGGTGGTCTTTCTGCGCTTGGCCTTCTCGCTCCAGTTGACTATATGAAATCATAGATTCGTAAGCCAACAGTCTTTCTTAAAAATACCAAAACATGATCTGTGATTCGGAGTGGTGGGTGGGAATCTTCCGGTGCTCGAGGAGGTTGGTTTTTGCTTCTCCCATTGTCGAATCAAGCACGCACGAAGGCCCGGTGTTGTATCAAGGATAGGGTGGAGTAATCGGGGGAGAGTTCGTACACTTGCGAGTCTTAGCGGAGGGGTAACCGCAGTTGGCACAAGTCGACTTCTGGATGTGGAAGGAGCGTTTGCCTGTAGATATCCCAATGGTGCACAATCCGTTAGCCCATTTCCCATGGTCGTTCCCAGCTAATTCCCTTCAATCATTCCCGGCACACGATCCCATCTCTTGGAAATTTGATCATCCGTTGATCCGCAAAAATATTCCGCCGTGTCAAACAAAGGTATCGGAAGGTGTAATACTGACCACAACGCCTGCAAAGGGTGTGAGTCTTGTTGTGGCGCTTGCCAAAGCTGGAGGTACCCTTCGCTGTAATCGGTGTCAGTGGGCTGTCACATTTTGTCGTCGCCGAGGGACCGGTCGGAAACGGTAGTATATCATGTTGGTAACGTACTCATCTTGAATTAGGGGAACTAAAAGTGAAGCAAAATAGTCAGCGAAAAAATGTCCGTCCAGCAGATATCCAAAAACACGATTATCCGACAAAAATAACCTACCTGGCGATTCCGTTGAAGGGCTGGTTGTCGTTGTCGTCGTCGCTGGGCGTATCGAAAGTTGCGCTGGGATCTGGGGTGGTGTCGCTTAGCGAGTTGTGGTTTCCAGGGCTTGTGCCCTGGTCCCGTGATCCCGTGACTTTCCGCCTTCTTGAAAGATGTCTTTTGTGTCACGTGCCGGGCTCTCGATCTTGTCGCGGCTCCACTTACTGTGCTATCCGGGTAGCTAACCCGAGACTGGACTAGCGCCCTATAATTTAGTTGTTGTTTCCATCGATGGGTCATTTCCATGTCTTCCTCCTTGATGGTCGGAATGGTCGTTGCATTCAAATACCATACAATCAATATATCGATATATCCACAATTTCGAAGAAGGGTATCTATATGCATTGCGCGATTCATGTCGCAAAACAGAGGCGCAGAGAAATATCTTGACAAAAAGCCACTAAACCAGATCATCTTTCCCCCATAAAAGCGGCCATAGGATCGTCCGCAGCAAGCCTGCTTCGTTTGTATGAATCGAGCTCTTCCTCCGTGATTCCTGACTGCACCTCAATCAAAGTTCTCTTCTTCGTGTTTGCGTTGGTCACTTCTCCTGCCTTCTCCAAGCCCGCCTGATCAGGATTGGCGTGGTTCTCCTCGAGGTCACCAGACTGTTCGGTAGCGTCTTCGCCATCTCCTTCCGGTAGCATCAAGATCTGGTCTGCCTCTCGGAAAGCGCGCTTGCCGTCCTCACCAGTACAATAACTGTTCTTCACAGTAGAGAAACAGCAGGCATATCCCCATTCGAAGTTGTGCCACCAGCTTCCCCAAACGGAAGTATGGTTGTTGTTGAGGATATCTTCCGCGTACTTAGACTTTGCTGCTTTCTTGGGAGCGCCCTTGATGGCGCCAGTCTCGTCATATTCGATAAACCTTTCGTTCTCAACCACCATGGTTTCTCGTAGCGGAGTTGGGTCAAGATGTTCCTGACCACCGTATTTCTCCAAAAGAGCCTTGCGCTGAGCATCACGCTTGGCCACTGTCTCGGCCTCGGCTTTCTTGCGCATGATCTCGCCTGCTGTCGGATTCGCCTGCAGATGAATCTTCTGCGTACCCTTCTCTTGAGACTCCCAAGCATACCGCTGTGCCTTCTCGAATTCAGCAGCATCTCCGGAGGCCCGCACGAAATTCTCCTCAGCCACCAGTGCTGCTGCCTGATCATCTTGGGCGCCCATGTCAACCATGCGCCGCGTCTTCGGATCGTATTTCGCAGAGTCCAGATCGAGGTTCAGCAGATATTTAGCGGTGTCTTCACGAATACGTAGGTTGCGAGTCGCGGTGCTTTGTTGTCGGCCCATATCAGACTCTTCTGCGTAGCGGGCTTCCTCTTCCGGGGCCTCCTCCTCATCAAGCTCACCGTCTGTGAGCCCATTTTGCCTCTTCTCCCCTTCCTTGGTAAGTTTCTTGAGCTTCTCCAGTTCCTCATACTCCTGGACCACCTGGCGATATTCGCTGGCGTCATAGCCATTCCACCGGTCTCTCTTAGCGTCCCAACCCATGTTCACATCCTGTATAACTTCGTCGGCCTGGATGTCTTTCCCAGTCCACTTGGCACCGTGTTTCCGAGGTCGACTGAGGCACTCTTTCGTTTTGTGGGTCATGGCGCCGCAATTCTCACAGGCGCCTTTGCGGTACTTGGTGGCGGCTGGACCCGCGCGCTTGCCACGCTCATACCATTTCGACTGATCTGTCGTCGACTTCTGCAGACGTTGATGCTCAAGGTAATCGTTGGTGGTATCGTCATCATCGACATAGAACGGTTTCTTGGAAATGAAAGACGGAATGTACTCGTTGCGTTCCTTCGACGCCACATCGGCTGGCTTTCGGGACATGGTGATGGAGTTGCGTGAGAGAGATGACCAGATGTGAAAAGGGAAACCTCTCAGTCCGGTACTGAACAGATAGAGGAGAAAGGAAAGCGGGGAAAGGACGGTACGGTCGCGCGACGACAGTGAGGCAAGTCGTTCGGCATTCTCGAAGCGGCGGAATCCTTGGCGATCATGGATGGTCTGGCTATCATCACGTGATCTGGCGTAGATCCGCGCCACTGGGCGCGTCACTTCCATGGTAATTCTCGACACGACCTCGGACTTTTGCTCGCAGCAGACGGCAAAAGGTCTCCAGAGACGCGCATTAGCAGTGCTATGGGCATTCGGATTTCTGACTACGATGTCCTTTACTGCCGTTGAATAGCTATGTTGGTGACGGCTTTGTGCCGTCTCGAAAGTACGCAATGGAACCCTTCCAAGTGCGCCTCAATTGCGTGGATCATTATCAGGCGGCCCCGTCGGATTTCGACCCTCCCCTGCTTTACAGGGATACGACCTCGGGCAAAAATGATCGGGTCAAAGTCCCTATCATCAGGGTCTTTGGCGCAACGGAGACTGGCCAGAAGGTCTGCGTTCATGTCCATGGCGCATACCCTTATCTCTATGTTCAGTATGAAGGCGATCTAGATGAAGGGAAAGGTTTGTCCGCCACAATGGTTTCCTGACCCCGATTACCCCCATGGCTAAGTGGCACTGTAGTAAGTGCCGCGACCAAACATCTCCATCTCTCTATCGACCGCGCACTAGCAGTGAGCTATAACCGAAACCCCAACGATAAGAAATTCGCCTTCGTCGCGCATATCACCTTGGTCAAGGGCGTGCCTTTCTACGGCTACCATGTTGGCTACAAGTTCTACTTCAAGGTTTACTTGACAAACCCGATCTACATGACCCGACTGGCCGATCTGCTGCTCCAGGGTGCGGTATTGAAACGACCTGTCCAGCCGTACGAGAGTCACCTGCAATACATCCCTCAGTGGATGTGCGATTACAGTTTGTATGGGTGCGCTTATATGAAGTGTAGCAACGTCAAGTTTCGAATGCCCGTGCCGGAATATCTCGAGCTCACTAATTCGTCTCACCGCTGGCATGACCGTTCGATACGCCCTGAAGACTTGTCGGATCCCTCGGCCCTCCCTAAACAGAGCTACTGCCCGCTGGAAGTCGATATCTGCGTTCAGGACATTATGAACCGCTCTGACGTCAGTGAAAGGTCTATTCACCACGACTTTACCGAGTACTTGAAGCCGATGTCTTCCGATCAGCGACTGGTTCCGAGTATGGCTGGCCTTTGGCAGGACGAAGAGCGCAGACGGAAGAAACGTCTCGGACTTGAGCCAGGCAGCAGTCCGTTTGTCGCCGAGGAGCTAGTTTCCTTATCGGTCGATCCGAGGAATACCTCGCAAGGTGGCTGGATTCACGAGGAAGAGTACAGGGAGATGACAATGCACACGATCAACGAGGAAAAGAGCCACTACAATGGCGCTGATGTTAGCTTCGACAATTTCCTTACAGAAAACCCCTTCGCAAAGAATGTAAAGACCGCGCTCCAGAGCGTCGAGGATTTCTATCCTGGCAAGGAAGAGCTCACCAGAATCGAATTTCGTAGTGATAATGACTTGCAGCTGCCGGAGGAGTCCGATGTCGGTATCGGCGAGGAGGCATTTGTTCCTGCCAGATCGGATGAGGAGTCGTACAATTCGGAAGAGGATGACATTTCGAGCCTGTTGCATGGCGAGACACATGA